TATAAATGAATTGTATGAGTAAAAAATTGTGTATCATATATGTTGCTGTACATTCAGCACTGAACCACGACGTTAGCGACGACGGTTTGACGTGTAAAAGTCTTTGATGTTTTGTTTCTCTTGTGCGGCAACACGACGGGTTGCTGGTCGTTCGATGACGTCGGGAATAGATTCTTCCAATTCATTTTCTTCTTGTGAATGAGAACTCACAAAGGAAAGGTCACTTGAGTCACCGGCTGTGTCAGACGGCAAATCAATTTCATTTGTTGCTGCATCATGTGCCTACTCAGAACCTTGCGAATCATTTAGTTCCAGAGGCAACTCATCTCCCCCCATATCATCAGTTTCACCATCTCTGATCTGATCTACATGACGTTTAATGTCACGTTTTTCACGGAGTAACAAACAGGTGTAATTAAGTGGTCCTATTTTATTTTTAATGGTAGCTTGTGACCAACTTGCTTTGTTTGGGTTTCGATAATCTCTCACATAGACTTTTTGTCCTACCGAAAAATTTACGTTACGATTTCCTTTATAATTTTTAATTGCGGTTTGTTGCTTTTCTTTGATAACATCTGTAACTACAGGCGGTTTTAGCAAACTAAAACGCGATTTTAATTCTTTTCCGAGAAGGAGTTTCGCAGGAGTTTCGTTAGTTGTGCAATGTTTTGTAATTCGATAGTCAAACAAAAATCTATCGAGAATGGTGTCGAAGTCACCTATTTTGCTCTCCTCAATCGTTGCAATTAATGACTTTTTCAATGTTTTGACAAAATTCTCGGCTTGGCCGTTTGTCGATGGATGTCCAGGTGCGGTGTATATGTATACGATGCCATTAACGCTTTCGTTTTTACAATTCCCATGTGCGATGCGTGAAGGTCTTGCAAAATGATCTTACGCAGAGCATTTGGAATGACGGTGCGATAGTCCCAAAGAATGCAACCTGATTCAACAGATAATTCAGTTGCTTTGTTTCGAAATGATGTATATTCACTGCCTTGAAGCTGATCGACAGTTCCGTGTTGAATACAATCGTGAACCTTTGATAAAATTGGATCTCGTCGAGTGTGTGTGGCTATATCTTTGTACGTTAATGTTTTCATGATGTTTGAACCTACATAATTTATGTATGAACTCTCCTTGGTTTCTTCCGCTGTAGAAACTTGTGCAATACGTGATAAACTATCAGCCGTATTCAAAGAACCTTTAATGTACTGAATAGAATAATTGAAACCAGACAAAAGAAACGCCCATCTCTGCATACGAGCAGCGGCCATTAAAGGAATGCCTTTATTTTCGCCAAAAATTGCGATCAACGGCCTGTGATCAGTTTCAAGCGTGAAAAACATGCCCAATAAATATTGTCTTAACTTAATCACACTAAAAATGATGGCTAATGCTTCTTTTTCTATAGTACTGTAATTCTTTTCTGCATTATTTAATGCGCGTGAGACATATGCAATAGGTCTCTTGGTTCCATCGTCATATTTATGAGATAAAATACCAGCAATAGCTGTATTACAGGCATCTGTAGACAAAATAATTAATAATTTTGGATTAAAATGAACTAAAACTCGATCAGAACAGATTTCTGTTTTCATGTGTTCGAATACATTTTGACAAGCCTGATCCCATTTAAATTCAACATTTTTTTGCAACAAATGGTAAAGCGGTGTCATTTTCTGAGCGAAATTTTCGATGAAAAATGAATGATGATTTACCATGCCAATAAATGCTCTTAATTCAGAGACATCCCTTGGTCGTGGTGAATTGAGAACGGACTTGATTCGTTCTTTGTTCCGACTTAAACCATTTTTGTCAATGTCAAATCCTAAATAAGAAATTTTTTCCTTGAAAAATTCACATTTGTTGACGTTTAGTCTGAGACCGGCTGTCTGAAGTTTAATCAAAACTTGTTTTAGCGTTTTCAAATGATCTGCTAGAGTTGGCCCAGTGACGACAATGTCATCTTGATAACAGAATACATTTGAGAAGCAACTAAGGAGATTTTCCATGGTCTTTTGAAAAAGTGCGGCGGCAATTTTGACGCCAAACGGTAAACGTGTCATTTTGAAAATGCCTTTGTGTGTACTCCATGTACACAATTTTTGTGCTTCATCGTCTAAAACTAACTGATTGTATGCATTCGACATGTCAAGTTTAGTAAACAAAATACCTCCTTGCATTGAAGCAAAAATTTGATCAATCCGTGGCAATGGATATTTGAAATCGATTAAAAATCGATTAATTGTGACTTTGTAATCACCACAAATGCGAATATCGCCAGAAGGTTTCAATAATGGCACAAGAGGTGTAGCCCAATCCGAATTGTCTACTGGAATAAGTATTCCTTTTGAAACGAAGTCATCTAACTGTTTCGCTATCATATCACGCCATGCTAACGGAACAGGGCGAGGTTTGCAAAAAATCGGTGTGACATCTTTTTGAATGGGTAATTTAATGGTCGTGACGTTATACTTTCCTAAACCGCAACTAAAAACTTCGTGAAACTCACTTTTGATTGAATCAATCATTTCGTTGGGCGCAAAAATATTGTTGACGCGATTTGTTTGTACTAATTCAAAACTAAAAGCACGCAGAAAATTTCTACCTAACAAAGTCGGTCGGTCACTGTTTGTCACTACAATTATTCCTGATATCTTTTGACCTTTGTAATTAACAACTGTTTGAAACTCACCAATGATCTTCAATGGGTCACCTGTGTATCCGGAGAAAGGTGTGTTGCATGGTTTCAAAACTCTTCGATCAAAGTATTTATCAAATGTGTGAATTGATATGAGCGAACATGGTGCACCAGTGTCACATTCAACCGTAAGCCTGACTCCATCCACAAGCAAAGTTAACTCATAGCGATCGTTCCCTTCCGAGCCCTCAATTGAATAAATTGGGTAGTCGTAGTTCGTCACATCGCACGGTTCAATGCTAAACGTAGAAGTGGAATTACAAACAGAATTAGAAAAATTTTCACTAGAAATTGAACAATTTTTATCAAAAAAATTAACAAAATTGACGTTATTCTTATCCTTCTGCTTGCAAATGTTGGCTAGGTGCCCAGTTCGTCCACAGGAATGGCACTCGCTGTCCTTGTATTTGCATGATGATGATGTGTGGTTCTTCCAACCACAATGCCCACATGGTTTTTTCGATTTCCCGTTACCGTGGCTATTCTTGCGATTGTTGTTGTTGTTGCCGTTGCTGCTGCTTTGCTTGCCACGCGCTTCGATGAAATTCACGTCCACGCTGCTGTTTTGCGATTGTTGAATTTTTGTTTCTTTCATCATCGCCTTTTTCAATGCAGTTTGCAACGTCAGCGTTTCGTCTTCTTCGCAAAGTTTTTCGAATATTTTGCTTGGCAATTCAACGACAAATTTGTCCAAAACGATACGTTCCAAATCACCAGCGACGAATTTGCAATCGAGTGATAACCTCTTCACACGTGCAAACCACGATGCTACACGTTCGTCGGCTCCCATTTTCGCTGCGTAGAAATTTCTTCGCTCGTTGAAAACAATTACGGGTGGTGTGTAATGCGCTTTCATCAACGCACACAAATCGTTGTACTTCTCTTTGCTCGGTAATTTCGGACTGCATAAACAATGCAGAATTTGATATGCTTCTGCTCCGATCAATTTCAATAAAATTGAAATTTTTTGCTTTTCGTCTGTGCACTCAATTTCGACAAAATGTAATTCGAGACGTTCAAACCACAAATTCCAATTCTCATTCGGGTTAAACTCCGGCATCGATGATGCGGTGATGATTTTCGTGTCCGTCATTTTTCGTTCGTCGATGATTTTCATGTAATGCACAGATGTTCAGAAAAAAAAAATAGTTTTTCTTACGATTACTTTTTCGATGTAAAAAAAA